CGAGAATTTCAAGCAAAAGCAGAAAAAGGGTGTGTTTACTGTCCTTTATTCCTGCCAAAGTGGAACAATTGATGAAAATAGTGCGGATAAAGCCCTGGTGACAAAAAAGGGCACCTTTACCATTACAAAGTTAGCATTTCCCCTCATATGCTCAAAATTAGAATGCCTTTCAAGTAGGGTGAATCCTCGTTGTCTTCTCAGTACTAGACATGGAGGACCAACCTTCCTTACTTAAGCAGGATGTGATTGATAATTATACACCATGTGATGTACCTTGACCATATAATACTGTTCTGTCCCCAGTGTTTTAAGGTGGCTAAAATTTCTTTAAAATTTCGTTTATGTGTATTTAGTGAGCAACTAGACATTCAAAAATCAAGCATGTACTAATAAACCCATTCCATTTTATATTATTGTTTCAAAATAAAATCAAATCTCACAGAAAAATATTGATCAATCAACTCATATGATGGTAAGACTCTAATCTTGACGGACCATCAAGCTTAAACTGGACATAGATGCAAGGGCGGCCTTAAAGAATACAAGAAAATGCGATGCAATGTTTCTTGTGAGAAGGCGTGGAGCAGCCTACTTCTTGTCATGTAACCGAAAAAAGAAGAACAAATAGACAACACAATGGATAGAGAAGAAAGTGGTTACTTCAATGAAAGAATTTGACCACATCGGAGTTTCTCTCCAAGGCTATTGGCTAGATGTTTCGGTTGTCAATATTTCAAGCTCTAGTGTAGCACTAAATCCAAATTCTTTTCCAGGAACAAACGATGATCTGAGTTCTTCAGCTGTCTGTATAGTGTTAATCTTGTTGCCCTTCACTGTTAGATTTTCCTGCAGGATTAACAGGAGTAAGAAGTTCAGGGGAAAATTTTCATCTGTAACTGAATGAATTTCCAGAATTTACTTGCCTTCTTTGTGTAGTCAGCCAAGGTTGAGCTAACAATTTCCTGTATGACAAAGTTGGTAACACGTTCTTCACCGAGCATTTGAAGTAGAAAATCTTTTGGGACCTGCAAGTATTCCCCATAAAACAAAGAAGAAAAGTAGACAAGTAAAATGTGATGGAGATTATAATCTATTTTAAATTTGTCTAAGCTACACGGTTAGTTCAACATAGAAGAGCAAAGAGACAAAGGATGGTCAGGTATGAGGACCGACAAAATCATTAGCTGCTAATAATGAGGCTCGCTTAAATTATATAAGTGATTTTCCATCAAATGGCATAGTGTTTGAGAAAAAAAGTTCACATATGTATGGGAAAAGAAAAAAGACTCCTTGTAATCCACTTATACCATAAAATTGGGCACACACATTTGCATCATTTTGGATTTCAACATTATTAAGTTTGTAACTGGAAGCAACAATAGAGCACAAGGAATTACAAAGACTCACTATACACCGAACAATTTAACAAGATTTATATGAACTAAAACTAATAGACATCCAAAATGCATCGAGCACCCTGATCCTGAGTAATGTTTGCTAGATCATGGGATTCTCATACAACCATATGAAAAGCATTTAGTTCCAACATATATTAATCTGCATAGGAAGTACTTTCGAGTTTAGACTCATAAATTCCTCTCTTCACTATGTCCTCAAATATAGTAAAGATAGTATTTTCGTTTTTTTTATTTTCTCTAAACAACTGAAAAGCTCTCTGTTATTTGAAAAAGCTTTTATTTTTGATAATGGTATATCCCTGAATAACCTTCTATTTCACTGTTAACTGAGGTTACTAACAAATTGATTCAATAAGAACTTTACACCCATGAATAGAATCAGCAAACACAAATTGTTGATGGCTTGCTGCCTAACTCAGGTCATAGCATATCTCCAACTCCAAGAAACTGGCATTGGCTTTAGTAACAGGTCTCTCAAATTACAATTTAGCACCCGAAGGTCCGGGAAACAGGAGTTAGACAACCATTATAGATTGTTTCTGAAATTATATGGAGATCTAGTGATATAAAACATTCTTAATCATATCCTAAAGTTTCACATTATGAAGCCTACAGCTTCCCATATCACAATTTAGCGACTGAGACGAGGAGCGAGGCATCTATTAATGTGTATTTCTCACATGAAATGGAAACCTAGTGAATGAATTAATCCCATGTAGCTCAAATTATAATTAATGATTCATGACTTTTCAAGATGCATGAATCCTGATAGCAGGCTATGATGTAATAAGTAAGAACGAGAACACAGGAAAAGGACATGTACAATTGTGTGAATGAAATAGAACCTAGCAGCAAAAAGGGTAGTTTCTTTGTAGCTTATGACATCAAGACACTGTTTATGCCATTCAACCACATCGTAGCTCTTCAAACAGTATAAATACTTGCATATGAATTATAGATTTTGAAAGGAAAATACATTCTGACAATCTCACATTCTGCTGGAGCAACAGATTTAAGAGGAGGTCCTACAGTATGTAACTTCATCATCGAAAAGCAAGACAGAAGAGAAAACATTGCACCTGAGAAACTTCTTCATAGAGTATAATGAAGTCATAGGGATATTTACTTTGATGTTTTCCCTGAAAGGACCACCATGCACATGCAAAATAGAAAGTTAGAACAATGTGAATAAAAGAGTCATAGGTTGAACATGCAGAGCTAATAGTTTATTTTTGAGCATAAGCTTAATCATTTTGGTGATATAGTAGAGAGTTATAATCTGAATCTAGTATCACAGTTCCCTAGTTAAATCCTTTTTGCCAGAACAGTGGTCTTCCTTTAGATTTAAATTGCTTTTCCATATTATCCATGATTTTGCTAGTGCAGTTTCTGGATAATGTTCCAGCATTTGCCTCAGTAGGAACATGAAATCGACAATAGAAGCCAGAAGCACAAACAATGTCAAAGTTGGACACATATGGATATCAGTCTGCAGCTCAAGGCACCAGTGCCTCTTCTCTATTGCTTGTGAAATTTGGAAACAGAATCCGAAGCCAAAAAGACCTCTCCACTTTCCAGCCATTCTTTACGAAAAAGCTAGAAGAGTCAACACTTTCTGAATCCAAAGCTAAAACCAGCTGCACAAAACTAGGGCTGGCATATGGTCGGGTCAATCAGGTTTGAATGGGTTTGCAAATAAATGGGCATAGGCATAAAACTGTCCAAACCCTTCTTTTTGATGACATAAAATAGGTAGAATTCAAATGGAACTGGAATTTATGGTGGTCCATGGGTGCAAACTTGAATATATCATGTTCTTTTCCTCATTTTATTGTTCTTTAATTTTTTTTCAATATCTCTTCTTATTCTTTTATTTTTTTTATTTATTTTTTTCTACTCCTCAAGAAAGATAGCACGTGTAGAATCACTGCCAACAACTGGCCAGATTCCACAACAATTAATCAATTGCAGTGGTCTGCCAGCAGCAAGTGGTGGTGCAGTAGTTTAGAAACAAATATAAGAAGAAAAGGAATACGAATAATTATTTAATACAAAAATAAAATGAGGAAAAAAGTTATGGTCCTGATGGGTTCCTCGGGAAGCTCATACCAGCTCAATGTTTGAGTCAAACAAAGAATTAGCCAAATCCTTAAGAAACCATGCCCAAACTACCCATGTCTAATGAAGGCAGCTTCGGTGGGCAGCACATGGGCATGGATTCATTTTGCTAGCCTATTTAAGAACTGAGAACAGGCCCATAATGGATTTGAGATACTCCACTTTCAATTGAGATACGCCACTACAACTAGAAATAATAGCACTGAGGTCAAATGGTGTAACAGAAATTGGCCATCACCAGTCATGCGGCCTCAATAGACCCATGAAACCATGCTTTCAAATTTACTGCCTAGTACTAAGGCCGGAAACCGATTATGACGCAAGCTGAAATCTCGATGTGTACCATGGCCTTTTAGATAATGCAAATTTAAAATGAGAAAAGCAAGAGCTATGAAATTGTGTATTTCTAAAGAGGGTATTGCACTTATTCTTTGCTACCACGTGACCCTATTGCTCTAAACAGCAGAACAAAAAAGAAAAAGGAGAAACAACAAACTGATTGATTACTAGGTAATTATGCATGGATATAACAGTTCTGTGGTCACTGTAATGACTGTGGATTAAATTTTAGATCCTTCCTAGAATGTGCAAGCTTTTAATTCATGTGGTATTGGACTAAAATCGGACAGAAATATAGAATATCAGAACTCTTATGGTTCAATTTCTCGATCAAAATAATGAATAACTTTCTTTCAATGCAATGACATGATCACCTCCTTCTGTTGCGAAATCCAGGAACAGGTGGAGCTGCACGGGCCAAATTAGTTAAAACCTTCTCAAACTAATCTGGTATCCTCTCCTTGCCAAATGACTCTTACCTGGAAGAAAGACATTGAGGGACTAATTCAGCTAAAATACTAGGTTATGGTAAAATTGAAGCCGCGTGACTAGTCCAGTCCTAACCTAACTAAGAAGACACAGTGGTAAATAAAATTGCTATTGCCAGACAAAAACATGCAAACATTGCTGAAGTCTCAAACACTGAATTAGAAAATTGAATGGCACCCTAAGAAGAGTAGCATCCTAAATAAGCATGCAGCAGTCGCTTCAAACCCCCCCCCCCCCTTTTGCTTCAACCATACCAAGCCACTCTTAGATCTCCTGTGCTTGCTCTATGCTGCCTCTCTCAAGTCATGCTACTCAAATTCTTAAACATGTATGGTGGTAGTTATTATCTTGGCAGCTCAGCAGTTAGCACTATTTAGGACCTCATATGAGCATGGCTCAGTTATACAATATCTAGTGAATTGAACTGATCGCAGAATAACAATTACCATCCCAAAATTTGAACTTGAAATCTTTACTCTATCAGCATGGAAGAGATAAAAGCACAATACTCAAAGGAAAAAGAATATTTTGAAAGTGGGACAGATGACTGTGCGCTTAAACATGCAACTATCAAGGTAGAATTGTGATTATCAATCCATGGATAAAGAGAACAAATAACACGTGAATTACCAAAGTCTATACCACATAGGCAATGTACAAGAGCTGATATTCTTGCAAGCTTACTTGTAGCTTAGCATCATCTCGAGACTCAACAACAATCTTCGCATTTTTAACATGTACTGCATTTTCCTCTGGATCTGCTATCGATGCCTCCAAACCTGATATAGTAACTACAACATATCAAGGAGAGATCAAAGACTAAGTCTGCAAAAGCAAGTCATAACTTTCAGATAAGTCTTTTCAGTAAAGCAATTAGCACCTGAACGAACAGCAGATACTGATTTGGCTAAATGTCGCAGATATTGCTTAGAGAAGCTATGGGTACTTGATTCCCTAGAACCATCAAAATACCTGTTTAATAATACTACTGCTCAGGCCGTCCAAGAAGCAAGAAATCCTACGACACCAAACAAGTGCAATGTGCCAATTGAAATGACTCAAGAGTTTAAGCTTCATTCTATGACTTAAAGCAGAATTAAAACATCAATAACATGTATATTATGCATAAACATGAAGAGTAGGTGAATTTTTCTTTAGCTCATGAGCATAAACAGAGAAGTACCCTTCTTCAATCAACATCATCCCTAGGAAAACACAAAAGGAAAAAAAAGAGTCGATCAGCAGTTAACTAGTTACAAAAAGTCTGAATGAATTCTCTAGTTTTTTTAGTGCTCGGGGCATTTTCAACTTAGCGCGGATCTTTCCGAAGCTTTTAAGTGTCAACCAGCAAACTCCAACTCATCAGTACACATTGACTTTGGTGTGAAAGAAGCAAGCAAGAGTTTCCAGGACTATGTTTATCAACTCAAGACTATGTTTATCAGGCATTTCACAGCTTTAGTTCTATCTTCTATGTAGTTTCCCAACAGCCTTCAGGCTTAACCAAGACATATCAACCCACAGGTCTCTTCCTAGCAATGAATACAACGTGCTAGCTACAGATAATAGAGTATAATTTAGTTAGACAACCAGAAATATTCTTCCACAACCATATATTTCAGATTCGATGTTTATCAAGCATTTCAGGCAGCTCTAGTTCGATGTAGTTTCACAACAGCCTTCAGGTTTAACCAAGATGTATCAACCTGCAGGTTTCTTACTAGCGATGAATACAATGTGCTATCTAAAGATATTATAGTATAATTTGGTTAGATATCCTGAGATATTCTTCCACAAGCCATCCATTCATAAAGAAGAGAAAAAGAAAAAAAATTATTGCTTCTAAAGGGTCTTAACTTCTTAAACTGGTCGTACTCAGTATTCAGGCTTCAAAAAACAAAAGAACGTTCTATGGTGGCAAAAGTACCTCAACCTCCTCGAGTGATAGGCAAGAAGCATACTATTTTGTCCTGCTATTACATTAATAAATGTCAAGAGAATAAATGCAGGAATGCAAGAGCCTGTTAATTTCTGCAACAGACAAGAGTATTTTCTGTCCAATTAGATAGGTAATTCTTAGTTGAACTTGACACAGTAACTAAAATTTGAACAATTTAAAATAAATCTAAAATTCAGAGGATACAGCTAATATTATCATTGCTCCTTGTTCAAGAAATGAATGAAAATGGAAATGTCTGCCATACTTTTGCTTTCAAAAATTTGCCATGAAAACTAGGTGCATGATTACATCCTCCTGTCGCTACATACATGGATACTTAATTTATTGAAAGAATAAGCAGCCAAAAAAACCTATAATGTCTTGGTCCTTGCCAAGTTGGCAGGCAGGTGATGTCAAACCTAATCCACTAGTATGGGATACACAATTGAATCTCGGTTGCTAGCATAAATGCCCCTAAAATCAGAATATGCTCCATTTGTCAAACTTGGCTAATAAAAACTATGCCATCACAAAAATAGTTCATCATCTCTTCATAAGTAGTTCACCAAATTGATTCAGTAGCTCCTTATAATCCTAGCTATGTAATCCCAGCACCTCACTCTTGGGACCTGTTTTACAGTAATAATGTTCTATATTTATGCAACAAATCCATTGTAAATTATAGCCAACCAAAGTCCTTTTTTGTTCAATATTTCAAAATAGCCATGGAATAGGAACTTGGTTAAACTCCAGACGAGATGTGTCAGATTAGTAATTGGACAAGATATCCATTTAACTGTTCAGGTCATGAAAAACTAAAAGATCATCCTTCATTTAAGGGTTCATTTTGTGATCCCAAAAGGAAATGCCTGTACATCAAAGGAGACAGGGAGCACCTTTTGACCCCAAAAGCCCAAGCAACAACAAAGTATTGTCAATAAAACAAGCACTACTAAGATGTTAATTAAGCAAATATGCATCCAATAACAGGAAAATTGTTAGAGCCTAAATTTATACAAACCTTCTGGTCAAGGTATATTTACCTGTGGCATCTATTAATGGTTGTTGAGTTTCCAAACTTGGTTAATGATGCATGATGGTATATCTGTACACAATGATGGAGACTCTGAAATTCTACAAACTGATGATAGAAAAACATTACAACTATGATACAGCAAGAAAAACTGCTGAAACTAGTAAGCACTATTTATTTGTGTATGTACACTCCATGAATAGCCAAGCTGCCTTAACATAAAACTAAGAAGTATTATTAACATTTTGCAGAAAGCTTCAAGTATTCTAGCACATATGATGCCCTTAAAAATTGTGAAGAGTTATCAGGTCTTTGTAAAAATATATAAATAATAAAATTGCGGAGCTCTCAGCTGCAGCATTTTAATGGTGTTTTAGAGTTCAAGTTTCTTTCATTCAATCTGCAAGTTGACCTTGTAACCTCTAACAATCTTTCGATATAAATATAATCCTGATAATTTCTAAGGCTTCTTTGGTACTTTTGCACAGACATTTGGTTATTTTTCAACTAAGAACACAAATCTCAGAAAGCATACCATCAAAAACTTTTAACAAGATATTTTTTTACACCTTTCACATCTAGGCACAGCTTTTTGAACTACTTAATATAATTTACCTTTTTCTCCAAGCTGTAAGCAGTTTCAACATGTTCTCAACAGCTTTAGCTTCTGTTTACCCAGAAAAGGCAAATCCAAAGTGGCAACAGCGAGATGCTTTTTGAAACAGCTTCTCAGATTTTCAAAACTTCTAAACAAAAACATGCTTTCCATTTTTTTTCATTAGATATTCAACAACGAGCATTAAAAAGAAAAAAAAAAAAAAAAAAATCTTGACCGCAATCCTGAATAACTAACTAAAAAGAGAACATCTCTGAAAAAAGCTTTGAATTCAAGAAGCATATCCTACGAAATACTTCTACCACTATTGCTAACATTTTGTTTATCTTTACTTTCTAGACTTTCTTAATCTCGTAAGTCTTTCATTTTGCATAAAACAGAGTAGACTTGATTTCATTCCTCAAATACCTATAACAAAATAAAGCAAGGAATCATGGAATCTATTTAGTGAAAATTTTATCATTTATAAGTAAAATGAGCCCTAAATTACCACAATTAGTAAGATACTACATTCATCAAATGTCGTACCTAAAGTATTTCTTTGCAATCATGAAACATCTAAAGCAAAGCACTAATTAAATATCCAAAAAGGTTCTAATTTTTCCACCTTGAATTGACTCAAAATTACTTTTATTAGCATCTGCAAAGGTTTTTATTTTCATTTCTTAAGTCATTCAATTACAAGTAGCCTTTTTCACAACATTTTACTCCACAATTATAACATACAATTACCAAAATTAGCGAGATAATACATTCATTAAGAAATTTTGTACCCAAAACATTTAGGCAAGCAAATTAATTACAATATCCAAACAAGGTACTTATTTTTCCATCTTGAATTGGCTCAGAATTATTCTCATTAGTAGCTCAATTTGCGACGTTAATCAATTAGAATTAGCCTTTTTCTTAATTTTTTTAGTCAATGACGACAATAATCTTCTGCATTTCAATTAACAGCACTCAAAATTCAAAGAACAAAAACAGGGAAAAAAAACCTTTAGCTTTTTGAAGTAGAATTCTGTTCATGAATAATCGCTATGCATTTACAAATTTGCAGAACTACTGATAAAGAAAACTGTGTTGCTTACGTCAGAGCGCTTGAGAAGCTTCAGCAAAGGTGACGTCAACGTGAAAATCGCCATCGTCTCTGTGGCCATGCTTTTCTTATCAGTCGCAGCAGTCTCCTGGAAATTCCTGTGCTGCCTTGAATTTCTGCGTCTTTTTTTTTGGGGAAAACGAAAAGAAAAGGAACAAATCTGTTATCTAGTCCTTCAACTTTTTAGTAAAACACATTTAGCCCCTGAATTTTTATGTTTAATGTTTTTAGCGAATTTATGTTGCGTTAGATAAAATTAAATTTTGAAAACTAAAATCTGAAATCTGAATCAATTAACTTATTGAATTTTTAATTACTAAATTTGATACGTTTAAATGTATATCACTTTTAGATGATAAGTGAATACTTATCATTTATTTTTGAAATAAATTTTGTCTAAAAAATACAGTGCTACTTCATTAATTAATTTAGATGTTCTACTTTTGGCTATCAATCACGTCTAAACATGTTAAGATTTGAGTCTTTTAAATTTAAGTGTTGAGTTAAGGGTTCGTTTGATAAAATTGAAATTTGAAAAATGAAATCTAAAATCTAAAATATGAATTCATTGAGTTACAATGTTTTCAAAATCGGATCGGATCGGCCGGTTCGCGGTCAAACCGGCCATGCTACCAGTTCGATCCAATATCAAACCTAGATGGTAATGAAAACCCGCTACGAACCGGACGAACCGCTAAAACTAGTATGAACCGCGAACCTGCGATTCTCAAATTTTCAAACAATTTAACCTCAAATTCAAAATAATAGCAAGAATGGAAACTGCTAGATTCAAACTCGAGTCTCTGAGCCAACAATAAGGTACGTTGCCACAACACCACAACCCAAGGACGAGGCATTGTTGTGTAGAATTATACTTAACTAAAAAATAAAATCAGATTAAATAAAAAAAACCCTAGCATTAAGAAAGTGCAGACGGCACATTTCATTTCAATTTCACTTCCTCCGTTTTTCACTCTCGGCTTCTCCAGTTCGCATCTTGATTTTTTTTAAAAAAAATTTTCTTCATATTTCAAATACTCATTTTTTTTTTCATTTTTCTTACAAAATCTCATCCTCTCATAGCTCCTTCTTTTTAATTTTCAACTCTCTCTCTCTCTCGCTATCCTCTTTTCTTTTGTCACTCCCTTTTTAATCAAACCTCTTTATTTTAAATTTATTGATATTTTCTTCCATCTTTTAATTTTGTTTTTGTCCATTAAATTGAAAAAAGTTTAAAAAAAATTATTTTTCTTTAACCCAAATTATTTAATGTCACAACCACTCACTTTTATCTCATTTTTTGTTTCTTATTAAGTTTACATTTCTATTTTCGATTCTCTTGACTTCCTTCGAACTCCAAACTTTCTTTTTTAAATTGCAATCTCTAAATCCCAAAGCGTAAATTAAAATTTAAGTTCACAATGTCTAAATTCTCATAGACGTGAATTTTGCATAATTTCAAAATATTGTGATATTTTTGGGTTGGATTTAGATATAATTGAAATTGAAATGAAATTTATTTGTTTTAACTTATAATTTAAAATTTTATTTTTAAAAATCCAAGTTATTAAAAAATAGTAAACTTTTCATCATATAAAGTATTAAATTAGTCCATTACATGTCTTATTTTGTGCATATATATATTTATATAAATTATTTTTTAAAAATTTTATTGAACCGAGGTTGAACCAGTCTGACCGGTTGAATCTCGATCCTTTCACTTCACCGGTTCAATTAACGGTCCGGTTTTTAAAACATTGTTGAGTTATTGAGGTGTTGTTTGGTAAAAGGAGATCGAAATCAGGAATTGAAATAATTTCAATTCTTGTTGTTTGGGTTACATGTATTGGATTCAGAATCTTAGAGTGAACCATTAAAATTTGGGAGTTCTCAATTCCCAACAAATTAGAGGGGTTTTGGTGGATTCCCAAATTTGACTCAATTTGACTAGAAAACTTCAAAAAAGAAAAGAAAGAAAACATATTGTTTTCATCACTCTATCACGTCGGCCCAACCTTCATAGCAGTATCTTACCATTAGATTTTCTTTTTCATTTTTTCTCTCTCATTCCATCTTCCACACCAGGCTTCAATCGTCATCCTTTTCTTTCTTTTTTCTCTATTCACTCTCTCCTCCAATCTTCCATAGTAGCAGCCTCACCTCATCTAGTTGTTTCTGCTTTCTTGTCAATCTCTCTCACTTTCTCTTTTCATCTCTCTTTGCTCTCTTCCTCTTCCTCTAATACTTCATGGCAGCTGCTCCTCTCTATTTGGTTCTTTCTCTTCTCTCTTCTTTTTTTCCTTTTTGTGCAAGCCTTTCTCTCATCTATTGTTAGTCACTTTCCCATACTCCACAAATTGCAAGGTTGATTGGTGATGGTTAAGTATTGGTTTAAGAGAATATGTTGAAGAATGAGTACTTAAGGACTGGGAAGAAAAAAGCAAGAAAAGGGAAAGAAGAAATAAATAAAGAAAAGAAAATGAAAATAATTTGATTTCAAAACCTTATAAATATATACCAAACATTAGTCATTGTAATGATACTCTTGATCAAAATCCATACTAAATTTTTGGACGTGATCCCAATTACAATTCCGATTCCTGGGCTTGAATCAAGCACTTCTTGAATTGCTAAGTATTAAATCAAATACATTTGAATGTATATCACATTCAGTGATAAATGAGTAACTTATCACTTATTGTTGGGATCAAGCTTTGTCTAAAGGGTTACCAAGACCAATAGTCCCTTACATATGATGATGTAAAATTTTGATCCTTTAAAATCAAAATGATTGATTTTAGTTCCTAACAATTAAAAAATATTCCCTTTTGGTCCCTTGTTACCTTTCCAACCAAATTTTTGTCAGAATATATCATAAGCCAGTCACGTGATTAGTTTTTTAAGGACAAATTTGACAACTCAATTAATATTGCCCATTTCTTTCCTAATCCACCATTTCTCTCCAATATTCACCAAATGCCAAACTAGTTAAAATGACGTGGTTTTGATAAAACTCCATTTCTCTATACTTTCTTTCTTTTTCCTTTTTCTATCATCTTCTTCCTTCCATTTTCTTACAAAAGCTCACATGAGTTGCCATAGTGCATTTTAGCAGCGGCACCACCACAGACCACCATCTTCTGTTCACAATTTGTCTCAAATTTTGCTCCCCACTTGGTTTTTTGCATAAATTTCGATTCTAACATTATTTTTTGCAAATATTGTACAAAAAGTGGTCAAAATGGCAAAAAATAGTTGTGAATCCTTTTCATTTCTTTTGTCAAAACAACACCAAAACTCACTGATTTTTTTTTTTTTTTGCAAAGTGACCCAGATGAAATACACAGCATCAATAACTCCAAAATCAGCCATGTAAGCCTCAAGAATCAACAAAGTTAAAACAAATCTTTTTTTACAAGTAATGCATAGCCATTAGGTTCAATAATTTGGAGATGATTACATAAGAGCTTCTTGAGTGAGGCTTCAGATGTGATTGTAGACTAGTAACTTCAATAGCTATATCAACCACATATGCTATCATGGGTTTGCTAAGGCTCTTCGAAATCTTTTAATTTTCAAGTCCTTTGGGAATAAGCTATCAGGATTTGGTGTGGGGGTGAGAAAAAATCATTTCTTCAAAGTATTATTGAAAACGGGTGATGGTAGGGAAACCACCTTCACCTTGGCTTTTCCAGGTCCCTAGCAAGAAAGAGAGAGGTTGGACTACTAGATGTGCTGTTTGTGACACCGCCTAACCTCTGCCATACATATTTATGTCAAGCCCTATTGAGTTTTGTTATTTAGTTACAATAAATCTTGAAATTTGACAGAACACATTTCCATGATTTTTTAAAAATAGAGGGAGAAAGAAATATACTTATAAGACCCATAAAATTAGGGGAAGAAGAGGAGAAAAGAGGGAAAAGGGAAGAGGTGGAGGTTGAGAAGTAAGAAAGAGATTTTGGCAGTGGTGGTGATGGTGGAAGTGGGAGTGATATGAGAAGATGATGGTAGAATAGGTAAATAAGTGATGTGGTTTTAGACTTGTGAAATTAGGGTTTAGAAGGAGAATAATTTGAAAAAATGCTAGATTAAATGAAAAATTAGTTCAATATTAAATGAGTTGCCAAATTTGCCCTTAAAAAAATTAATCATGTGATGGGTCTATGACACATTCCGATAAAAATTTGGCCGGAAAGGTGACGAGGGACCAAAAGTGATCATTTTTCAATTGTTAGGAACTAAAATCAATCATTTTGATTTTGAGGGACTAAAATTTCACATCAGTCATATGTGAGGGAGTATTGATGCAATTTTCCCTTGTCTAAAAATATTCAGTGATATTTAATTAATTGATTCATATGTTCAATTTTTTTTATTATTAAACACATCTGAACATAATAAGATTCTGTTCGAGGTTGCGGTACATTTGATAAAAAAACACTTTTAGTGTTAACAGTACTGTAAAAATGTTTGGTGAACATCATCCCATAACATTAGGAATAGAAATTTTGGTGTTAAAAACACTATTGAGCAATAGTTCAAACTTGGTGCTTTTATGGTAGGTTTTGTGATTTAAAAAATAAAATATCAAATTTAAACATTTAATCATATATTATAAACCAAATAAAGAGATAAATACTTTTAAAAATTTTCAAATTATACATTATCCAATATGATAAATACTTATTGAAGTATGTTTCCGAACAATATATCTTGAATGTTGTAGGTTGATGCTGCTCCTGCTGCAGACGCAACATCCCCTGGCAAACAATTGAAGAAAGGTTCTAATTTTTATTCCTTTTTTTGGTAGTTTTATTGTAGGATGGCTTATTTTTCTGTATGTACTCGGATGTTGCAACAAGCCCAGGGAAATGATTGAACAAAGGTTCAATATTTTTTTTTGTGCTTTCTTTCTTTGTTTCATTTTGGGATGCGTTAATTGTCTGTTGATGTTTTACTATGTAATCGGGTGTGCATTCATTTTTGTTCGTTTCAATGTTTATCATTTTGATGGTCCTTCTCGATTTATGTTTTGGTGTTTAATTGTGTTGTGTGTCTGTGGTGTGCTTATAAGCTGCCAATACCCATGAGAACGTTTACTTCGTTTCACAATTTTTA